ATATATATATATATATACGAAACTTCTGTTCAAATGTTTCTATCATTCTATTTTGTTTAAAAAACAATGGTTGCGATAGTCATTTCGATCATAAAAGAAAAACTTAAATCTTTAGTGTCATTTCATATTCTTTGCGTTTCCGAATGTATTTTTTTTACTAGCCACACGATGTGATAAAAAAAGGTACATATTTTTGCGAAAAGACAGCATCAATGATCTTCAAAAACTTCGACAAAAATGATCTTAGAAAAAAAATATTCTTACCAGTTACTAGCCTTTCACGTTATTACCAGTCACGTTAGGGAAAAAGTATTTTTTGCATCACTGCAATTCGGAAAAATATTTAGATCTCACTTAAATGAACCATATATACAACATAGTATGTATATATATGACATTTTAACTCGATAACTCTACTCGATACATTGCTTCCCGATCTCGTTGCACCGTTTCCATCAAGCACAAACGCAAGGGAAAGAGTAAAAGACAAACGGCCTGCATCGGACCTCCATGTACACGTATAAATATCGCTGCATCGTTTTTTTCCAGACGCGACGAAACGAATCGGTGGTGGCGCGTTTGTCGATCCACCGGCGGACGAATGCCGCGAATTCTCGAGGAAGATTTTAATTTTATATCGCGCGCATGATATCGCTGGGCCGACCGTTGACCTAATTAAGCGCATTTAAAATTCAATTACCGTTATCCTGGCGGCGGGAGGAGAGCGAGGCGGCGCGAGGCTGGATTCCATTGTTCCGAACAGAGAGACCCGGGCGAAACGCGAGTATAGAATCGCGAAAGAATTCGCGGGACCGTCGAACGCCGACGAAGAAAAGAAAAATACTCCCCCTCTCCCCCCCCCACCCCCTCGCCCTGCCCCGAATTTAGCCTAGAAAGGTTACACCTTGCTCGTTTGCCTCGTTACGTGTGTGTAGTGTTGCTGCTAACAATTTGACTCTGAACAGACAGAACGTTTACGTTAGAGTGTACCCTTTTAGAGTATAGACTATACGAGTGTGTGTTGTACACAGGTATGATTTTGAACGGTAACTTTAGAACTCTAGAAACTTGTACTAGACCACGTCCCACCTTATATATAGATAGATTACAAACTTTAGATTAGTGTTAAAGCGTAGCCTGATTTAGAGTGACTTGACGATGTGCATCGTGAGAAGAACATTTGCGTGGCATCCGAATGCCCGAGGACGAGAGGAATGGGGCGGAATTGCGCGGAGAGTTCGTTAGAGCGTGTGATGTAACCTGATAAAATTCTTATTGGAAGAATAAGAATGCCATAAACTCGTTCGCAAGCCAGGGAACCATGAGCCATTATTCATAACAGCTTGTAACTCGTTAAATACGTCTCTAAATCTTCCTTTCAAAAAAGCAAGCTTTACGATCGCTTGGAATTCTCTCTCTCTCTCTCTCTCGGTGCCGTCTATTCTGCCCCCGTTCCCTACTCCCGAAACGAGTTGGTTCTCCGACCGAAGGGGTAGTTTGGATTGGGTGGATTAGGCCCGCGAGAATATACGATATTTAATAATGCCTCGGCATACTAGTTGCCTCTCGGGACATCCATCGATCCTAGCGGCCGTAATTAATTATCGTGGAGCAGGGAGACCGGAATTATTTCTGGTATTAGCCTCAAGGCTCTGACGCGTCGACCTTCCTACTTACAAAGACGCTTTATCGAACCATCGATTCCAGACGC